CAAAACTGGACGAGCAACTTTTTTACTCGGACAAGTGAATGGCAGATTTACTTAGCGTATATGAAAAGGCTTAATGTCGAGCCCTCCCTATATAGCAATGTCATCAGGAGACACACATACACCGGTATAGGCAGTGGCCCACCTTACCTGGTGACCACGTCTTGGTCCACCAGAATTTATAGTTTACCCACCTCTTTTTTTACCACTACACCTCTGCATAATCGTCTGTACTCTGTAGAGTGCTGAATTCAAGTCGATCACTGCTGTATGCTTTCGAATCAGTAGTACTGTGATGTCATACACCAATCATCTGTACTCTGTAAAGTGTTTCTTCAAGTTTATCACTGCTGTATGCTTTCGAATCAGTAGTACTGTGATGTCATAGACCAATCATCTGTACTCTGTGCTTCTTCAAGTTGATCACTGCTGTATGCTTTCGAATTAGTACTGTGATGTCATACACGCAGGGATGTAGTGGAGGCTAAATGCACGTAAATGCCGTATACGCACCTCCCAATATTTTTAAAAGGACTGAGCGTCGCCCTATTTCACGCTCCGCTCACACCACGAGAAAACTCCACGTCTTTTCCCCGCCTGACTAAAGTTGCTTGCATTGTATTCAGCACCCCCAAGCGGGTCCACCGTCTGCGAGCGCAGAGAGGGTTTTCTCCGCTGCTGGCCTGCTTTCAAGAAACCACCGCATGTGTCTGAAGCCTCAGACATTGTCCAAACTCATGTTCTTGAAGGTGAACTCAAAAGAATTGTAGGCTAGATAAGGAAAAAGCAATTCTTTTTTTTTTAAATTTGAGACAATTTAAATTGTTATCCACATGCGCTCTGCGCAAAAGTTCAGTCAGATATAGCCTAAGTCCGGTGGCCTAATAGCCAATTTACTTTTTAATTTAACAAGTTTATGTAGGCCTATAGCCAAATTTTTATTTATATAATTAGGCCCATTGATTCGTCTAATTTTACAGTTGTTGTTGTTTTTTGTGTGTATAGGTCTAAACCAATTTAAAATTTAATAGTGCACGTTGCGCAAAAATCAGTTAGGGTTATCAAAATCTGGCCTAATAATTAATTAGCCTATACTTTTAGTAATTTATGTATATATATATACATATTTGTTTTTACATTTTTGTTTATATCATTTTTAGTTATATTATTAGGCCCATTTATTCGTTTAATTTTACAGCAGTTTGTGTGTAGCCTACAATGGTATAAGCCCATTTAAATTTTTATCGTGCGCGTTGAGCAAAAGTTCAGTAATCAAAATTCTGGCCTATAATTAATTTGCTTTAAAAACTTTCATGTATATTTTTGTTTATATAAATTTTATTCGTACTATTAGGCCCATTTATTAGTTTAATTTCACAGGACTTTTTGTGTATGCTACATTCCTGTTCTTATAGGCTAGTCCTAATTTGTAATTTGAAATGAAACATTTGTTTGGAAAATGTTGTTTTTGGTCTTTAGTTCTTTGTAAGGTAAGGCTGCGGTCTAACCTAAAAGTGAAATACAAATACATGCAGATTTTTTTTTTCCTTTTTTGGAGCAAGCAGGGGGGCGATTTGAGTGGAGCGGGTATGAACATTCTGTTATGCGCGAGCAACGCTGGGTAGGCTACAGTGATTTATACGAGGATGAACTGGCCGTGCGACAGAGCGGGCATAAGATGGACACGAGCGCGAACGCGAATTTAATAACGCGAAGCGTTATTAACCAATTAATCCATAAGGCGCTCCGGATTACAAGGCGCGCTGTCCTTTTTTGAGAAAATTAAAGGCTTTTAATTGTGCCTTATATTGCGGAAAATACGGGTAAATAAAAATAAAAAACAAAACTGGACGAGCAACTTTTTTACTCGGACAAGTGAATGGCAGATTTACTTAGTGTATATGAAAAGGCTTAATGTCGAGCCCTCCCTATATAGCAATGTCATCAGGAGACACACATACACCGGTATAGGCAGTGGCCCACCTTACCTGGTGACCACGTCTTGGTCCACCAGAATTTATAGTTTACCCACCTCTTTTTTTACCACTACACCTCTGCATACACCAATCGTCTGTACTCTGTAGAGTGCTGAATTCAAGTCGATCACTGCTGTATGCTTTCGAATCAGTAGTACTGTGATGTCATACACCAATCATCTGTACTCTGTAAAGTGCTTCTTCAAGTTGATCACTGCTGTATGCTTTCGAATCAGTAGTACTGTGATGTCATAGACCAATCATCTGTACTCTGTAAAGTGCTTCTTCAAGTTGATCACTGCTGTATGCTTTCGAATTAGTACTGTGATGTCATACACGCAGGGATGTAGTGGAGGCTAAATGCACGTAAATGCCGTATACGCACCTCCCAATATTTTTAAAAGTACGGAGCGTCGCCCTATTTCACGCTCCGCTCACACCACGAGAAAACTCCACGTCTTTTCCCCGCCTGACTAAAGTTGCTTGCATTGTATTCAGCACCCCCAAGCGGGTCCACCGTCTGCGAGCGCAGAGAGGGTTTTCTCCGCTGCTGGCCTGCTTTCAAGAAACCACCGCATGTGTCTGAAGCCTCAGACATTGTCCAAACTCGTGTTCTTGAAGGTGAACTCAAAAGAATTGTAGGCTAGATAAGGAAAAAGCAATTCTTTTTTTTTTAAAATTTGAGACAATTTAAATTGTTATCCACATGCGCTCTGCCCAAAAGTTTAGTCAGATATAGACTAAGTCCGGTGGCCTAATAGCCAATTTTACTTTTTAATTTAACAAGTTTATGTAGGCCTATAGCCAAATTTTTATTTATATAATTAGGCCCATTGATTCGTTTAATTTTACAGTTGTTGTTGTTTTTTGTGTGTATAGGTCTAAGCCAATTTAAAATGTAATAGTGCACGCTGCGCAAAAATCAGTTAGGGTTATCAAAATCTGGCCTAATAATTAATTAGCCAATACTTTTAGTAATTTATGTATATATATATACATATTTGTTTTTACATTTTTGTTTATATCATTTTAGTTATATTATTATAGGCCCATTTATTCGTTTAATTTTACAGCAGTTTGTGTGTAGCCTACAATGGTTATAAGCCCATTTAAATTTTTATCGTGCGCGTTGAGCAAAAGTTCAGTAATCAAAATTCTGGCCTATAGTTAATTTGCTTTAAAAACTTTCATGTATATTTTTGTTTATATAAATTTTATTCTTATTATTAGGCCCATTTATTCGTTTAATTTCACAGGACTTTTTGTGTATGCTACATTCCTGTTCTTACATAGGCTAGTCCTAATTTGTAATTTGAAATGAAACATTTGTTTGGAAAATGTTGTTTTTGGTCTTTAGTTCTTTGTAAGGTAAGGCTGCGGTCTAACCTAAAAGTGAAATACAAATACATGCAGATTTTTCTTTCGTTTTTTGGAGCAAGCAGGGGGGCTATTTGAGTGGAGCGTATGAACATTCTGTTATACGCGCGAGCAAAGCTGGGTAGGCTACAGTGATTTATACGAGGATGAACTGGCCGTGCGACAGAGCGGGCATAAGATGGACACGAGCGCTAACGCGAATTTAATAACGCAAAGCGTTAAGCGTTATTAACCAATTAATCCATATATACGGCGCTCCGGATTACAAAGCGCGCTGTGGTTTTTTGAGAAAATGAAAGGCTTTTAAGTGCGCCTTATATTGCGGAAAATACGGGTAGGCTAAATAAAAATAAAAAACAAAACTGGACGAGCAACTTTTTTACTCGGACAAGTGAATGGCAGATTTACTTAGCGTATATGAAAAGGCTTAATGTCTAGCCCTCCCTATATAGCAATGTCATCAGGAGACACACATACACCGGTAGGCAGTGGCCCACCTTACCTGGTGAACACGTCTTGGTCCACCAGAATTTATAGTTTACCCACCTCTTTTTTTACCACTACACCTCTGCATACACCAATCGTCTGTACTCTGTAGAGTGCTGAATTCAAGTCGATCACTGCTGTATGCTTTCGAATCAGTAGTACTGTGATGTCATAGACCAATCATCTGTACTCTGTAAAGTGCTTCTTCAAGTTGATCGCTGCTGTATGCTTTCGAATTAGTACTGTGATGTCATACATGCAGGCTAAAAAATAAGATGTTGTATTTAATTAATAAAGTTATGTCAACCGGTCCCACAAAACTTAGTTGCTTAAATGGAAAGGGTAATATACAATTAATCCTAACATAATGTTTTAAGTAAATCGTTCATAACTGTGTTAATTAAATGGAACAATGCACAATTATTTTGAATAAATGTAAATTATTGCCTTGCATTTAATGACTATAGCTTGAACTAACATTACCTGATTAAGTTAAATTTATTAAACAGAAGCTTAGCTATGTAGTCCATTTGTGTTGATTGTACTTAATGACTAGAACTTAGTTGCTGTTAAGTCAAGTCAAATTTATTTATATAGGCCTAGCGCATTTTACAATACAGATTGTATCAAAGCAGCTTCACAATGATAACATGAAATATACAACACAGATCAATAATATAAACTGTTAATAAAAATACTCAAGTCACTTTAACTTTATTCACCTTTGGTTTTGAAATATTAGTCAAAGTAATTTTGACCTTCAATGTGCATTACTATAGCTGGCACTGTCATGACTGACACAATTATGCAAAATATGTAAGCAAAACTTACAAATGCAAAGTGTACAAATAAAATTGAAGACACCAACATAAATACACATAAAATGCAAATAGACTAATTTAAATTAATCAACTACAGTCTTGTCTGCTTATTCCAAACATTATTGATCACAGCTTTACCTTGTCCAGCAGCAGTCCAAAAATAAAGCAGCAGTCAACAAAAGGCCAGGTCCAGTCTTGCCTGGTGCAGGTGATTTTACTCATGCAGTTTGTTTTTGAGGACCTGCACTTTAGTGGAGAGCTTGTTCCCATCCATCCAATTCCATTAACACTTCCTGAAAAAATTCGAAAGTATCGCAGCTCCATGGGATAGCTCAAGTTTAAGCAGTAGATCAAGCCAAACAGGACTGCACATCCATTTGTAACCTCTCTCAGATCTCGCAGCACTGTGCAGCCTTCAATGACGATGCCAACATCCTCAGGTGGATCTGTAGCATCTGCTCCATCATGTCGAACAACATAGAGACCCAAAGCCAGTTTCTCCATTTCCGTCATTGCATCAATACCAATATCCTCGATAGCCTATGACAAACAAAGAGACCCATTATTAATTATGCATATACGACACTAGTAACAAACCAAAAAGATGTTGAACATTCCACCATTTTTTATATTAAACTATGTTATTCCCTTAACTAAGACGAGTTGATGGATACCTCTCTCATCTCAGTGCTCAGTGCTCCTTAATAAGGCTGCCAGGCTTTTCATTTCAGTCCGTCGTACTTCAACACTGGGATTCTGTGGGAAACCAACAACTGATTTTGAACATTTTATTTGAGGAAACTGCCATTATCACATTGACAAATCTATTATGACCTTAGTTTTTAATTAATTGATTTATGCAATTTTAATTAAATATCAATTGTAAATCTGTAGTTTATTTGTCATTAATTTGTCAACTGCGTGATATACACACTCATTCCATTTAAGGATGTTATTTTGAGAAAATAATTTCACTATTTAGCAAGCCCTAATTTACACAGATACCTCAAGTGTTTCTCAAGCTTATACCATTGACACATTGAAGGAGGCAGTATTGTTCAGTTTGAACTAAAATATACGTAATTGAATGGACAAATGAACAATTGAATCAGGCAATTCAGAAAGGCAGATTCAACATTTCACAAGCAGAATTACAGATGTACAACTGACATTTCATGATAAATCTGCACAGAATATAAAGCATCCTTTTCGTAAATTAAAAACATTTACAGAAATACCTCTATTTGTACAAATCATAGAATTTTGTATTTGTGATAGCAAGTCATATTTAGAGTAATTAGTTTTAATGTAGTAATTATGTTTAGAGTAAATGTTAAACCCCCAGGGTCAGAGCCCAAAATACACCCAAAACACATACCTTGTCCATTTCCGCAATGATTACGTCGATATCGCATCTTGCTGTTCCCCCCTTCTTTTTGAATACCCCCAATGGCTGGTTGGAGTAATGATCCAGTCGGGACATAAAGGTTGAGAACAGGGGGACTGTGGTGATGAGGGTGAATTCTGCATTTACCTGAAACGTATTAAAACACAAATTCAAGTTAAAACAAAATATGTCAAACTCTGTGGGCTACATCTGGCCGTGGTACAATTATATCCAGTTTGCCTCGATAGTGGAGCTGGCGTGGCCATAATAATAATATTAAGACAGCACTACAGTACCAGTTCTTAATTTTGGCCCTCTCTGTAACTTTGAGTTTGACACCCCTGGAAGGGAACATGAGTTTGCTTTTGGCTAAATGTTTTTAGTTGGAGGTTCAATGTGGGCTATCTGTAACCATTTTATATGGATGTTTGTGTAATGTGCATTGTAGGCCTAACAGAACAACCATATGCATGGATTCTTAGGACATTGCCTCCAAACCTTTGTCAATTAAATATTACTCATTTGTTTAAAATTAATACCCTAATACAGTATTTAGACATTAATTACACATATTTAAATTAAATACGAATAATACTTTACCTGGCTCTCAGAAAACAGGGCTGGCCATCTGTTTTTGAACTCTGCTATGAAGGGCATATCTTTAACGACTTCCTGTCTTCTATAGGCAAAGGTTCTTTCCATTTTACTTTTGATTAGCTGTTGGTTGTTCTTCTTTTTCACCTCCACGATGCAGAAAAAAAGTTCTCAGCATTGAAGGGGTGACACTCTAAAACATCAAGAGTGCAAAACAGACATACACACACACACACACACACACACACTTTTATACACAAAAACACCAATAAATTGTGATTAAAGACAAACACACAAAAAATTTAGGTCATCATTCGAGCAATTTAAGTGGTCGTAAAAAAATGAGTCACACTTGCTCTTCTGTCAAAAATGACCGACCCATAGGAAATGAATGGGAAATTGACAAAAAAAAAAAAAAAAAAAATGTGTACGTGCAATCTACAAATCAGCCACAATTCTAAAAAAAAGTACACCGCAGGAAAGGGGTGAAACTGACAAAAAAAAAAAAAAAAATAGATAAAATTTCTTTTTTATAAGAAATAGTTTGAGATTGTTTCAACTATATTTTCAATTCCACCACCAACAACAACAAAATGTGTTTATAAACAGCTGGGCAATTCACATGCCTTTCCATAGAGCTGTACATGCCATCTAGTGGTTACACCATGATTCTACGCTTTTTCTCTATACTGTAACCAGATGGTGCTAATTTTCTTCAAAAAATATTTTTTTTCTGAAGGCCTAGACTCTATATTAAACTAAAATACTGCATTAATATTTTTTTGTTAAAAAAATAATATATATAGAAAAATAGTATATATATTTTTCCATGGCAAAAATAAACCATAAATATTAAATTCAATTAAGTTGTCTCAAAATACTAAATTAAAAAGAATAAATATTATAGAACAAAAATAAATTGCATTTGTTGTACTGGGATGGAGAAAGTTTCATTTTTAGGTGTAAAATGGTAAATGGACTGCATTTATAGCGCTTTCATAGACCTACTGGCCACCAAAGCGCTTTACATTTTGCCTCACATTCACCCATTCATACACTCATTCAAACACCGACGGTGTCCGGTCACTTTTGACCGCGAAGATAACAAGTGTGTGACTCAGAAACGAAGAGCACCTGAGGGTTGATAGAGAATTCAACAATAATTTGGATTTCTTCTTTTTTTTTTAAATGCTTTATTTAAACATTCAGTTTACAGAGTAAAACAGTATAATAATAACATCAACAACATAATAGCACAAAAAAGAAATTAGACACCACGACTACTAACCAGTCATAGACATAATACATAGACGCCCGGCCGCTGGAGCGTACGTCAACGGCGCCGCCATATTGAGGAGATCAACTTTCCCATACCTCTCATAACGGGAATTGAGAAAAATGCCTGTTTTGTGCGCTGCTTGGGGCTGTAAAAATCGCCACACAACTGAAAACAGCTTTCGAGGAAGTACCTTTCACAAGCAAGACTGAACGTTTGTTTTTGGTTGTATTTGGTCATGATTTAGTAACGTTTAGAGATTAAATACTACTGTTATAGACGAATCCGACGAGCGTTCTTGTGTAGGCTGCCATCTTGTGGCGACGCCATTACTGAGCTGTTACACCGGCATAGACATATGCACCGGTATGTAAACAAACCTCGGAGATAAGGTGATAACGCACCCTTGATGACAGCTACAGCCAGGCAGACTTGTTGGGTTGATGATGTTAGACATTGGCCTCCAGTCACAGATGAAGGTACAAACGATCTTACAGATTATTTATGAAAATAGCTTGGCAAGCAAGCTAGGCTAACGTTTGCTACCGAGGAAACTAAAAAAAGATCTGTCCATTTGGCAACAATAAATAAATAAATAAATGAAATCAAATAAACAATTTCATTTTTTTCATTTGTTTCCATTATTTATCTAATTTTTACATTGCAACGGGCATGGGTAAGGTAACGTTACAGCTAGAAAGTATACATAATATCGACCAACTACTGTTTTTAAACCATGGAAAGAGGTCAGTATAACAGCAGGAGAACAAATATGTCACATAACGTTACATTCAGCTCAGGAAAGCCATTTAATGACCATAGCATGTAAATTGAATAGAAAAAATAACAAGAGAGGAGATTTTGCTGATCACTATATCACACATTTATTATATATTTTTTACTTATGTCATTAAATAATTGTTATTATACGCGAATGTCCGCGTCTTGTACTCGCCCAGGAAATCTGTGTAAACCGTACTGCTCCAGACAGGGGCAGTCGACCCGGGGTATTCACAATGTTTTCTCTTCAAAATTGAAATTTTACTGCCACCATTGAAACAATTTATAACGGAAACTGTTTACCCACTCGACATTATACAAGGGCTAACGTTGTAACGTTAGTGACAGTCGTAAATCGTGAGCTGTTTATTCCAATGGACGCAATTTGCAACTAAAACAATAGAAGGCAATGGCGCAACGCTACCCAGCAACAGCTCAGTAATGGCGCCCGCTTACTTCCGGTAGTTTCGCCGGATTCGTCTATTGTGTCACGCAATGTAGTTTTAATAGTTTTTCAGTCGACAATGTAGTTGTTTAAAGCTCAAATATGTGGTTTGTTTATAAAGATAGAGCCTATTTAAAAATTTGATCTGAAGTTTTCGGAGTTGCTGCGCCCCCGCCCAGCGCTCGTCTCCCCCGCCTGGAACAGCCGTACCACGGCCAGTGCTTCTGACGGTTGCCGCTGGCTCGGATGTCTCTAGTCAAGAGGTTAAACATGAGATATAATTCGTATAATTTGTGTTTATCTTTGGTCTCATTAATCTATTAATGGTTCCCTGGTAAATAGTTTTGGCTGAAGGCAAAGTAAAGTTTCATAACTTTATATTTAGGCTATTTTAACAGTATGTTTGACTGAAGCTACTTCTGTTATAATGGCTAGCCTATTACTGATTAATAAAACTGAAATTTAGCACAAAGAGCTAAATATTAAATATATTTTTTTTGTGTGTTTATTCTGTAGAAATGTCTTATTCTATTGCTATTATTATAGAATTATTAATAAACTATTATCAATATTTTTTACATGTATTCATTACCATTTTATTTGCTGTATACTATTTGTTTATTTTATTGACTAAACTATTTACTAGTACTTTTCACTTTATAATTACTATTTGCATTGCACTACAGTTGTATCACAACATATGTATTATCATAAATGATCCATCAGTTATCAATATTATTGCTAAAATCTGGTCAATCACATAAAATGCTTTTTCCACAATGAGCAAACTTAAATATCTCAGTATGGGGATCTTCACCATTCTTATCCAAGAATGTTTTTATCCAGAAAAACGCAGCTCACCCGTTTACTTGCATTTAATTACAATGCAGTCTTGACCTCCGCAAAATGGCGGACCCGTTGACGTATCGCAGCAACGTTCCAAAGCGCCCAATAGGGCGTCTATGTATATATTATGTCTATGCTAACCAGTTTGATGACGCATTAGTGACAGTGAAAGCTGATTGGACTTGATGGATATGCGGGAAAGGGCTAATTTAATTCAAAAGATGATTCCCGAAGGATTTACTAATAAAACTGTTGTGCACGAATCTCATGTTCAAGAAATGTCAACATTAAATTTGTAACTATTTATTAAATCAGATTTGATGTGCTCATGCACTCTGCCAGTTCCCACATGACGTCACAACATACGGGCATTTGCCGACCCGGCGCCATTGCTGAGGGCAAAACCAGATATTATTGAAACCAGAACAGGACATTAGAAGAAGCAATACGAGTTGAACGAAGTGAAATGAGTTTCGTGCTGTAAAGTGAAAATGGTCATCTCCTGCTGGGTCAATGGATGATAAAATCGTGCCGGATGTTCAGTTAAATCGGGATTTTACACTATACCCGTCATTAGACTCCATGGATGTGAGAAAGCTTTTGTCCGAACAACGACGGAGATTATGGCTGGCGAGCATAAACAGGAAAGAAACTCACTCAAAACACGCACGAATTTGTTTGACAAAAGCACAATGTTGTGTTTTATTGCGAGTGTAAACAAATATAAGTTAACACATTGCAGTTTGTATAATGTCCTGTATGAAGTACACTACACGCACCATACTATTTGTGTCCCCCCCTCTCTGCTGCACATGCGCCCACATATATTAGACAGGGTTGCCAAACATCTGCGTATACTAGACAGGGTTGCCACTACTCCATAAAACCAACCACTATCATTACATCACCCCCCACCCCCCTTTTTTAGATTAAGTATAAACAGTTAAACTTAAAAATAAAAAACATTTTGACATACAATTACACCCATCTAATGATCTCAGTCTTTTACAACCAGTCTGTCAGGACTGGATTTCAACATGTTTCAATAAGTCTTTTAGGGCATTTCCGTTCATGAACAGATCTTC